TTGTTGCGGATAATGATCAGATTGGTGACCTCCGAACTGATCCTTGGAAATCGACGCAACTTCGCAAAGCGGCCACAGTATATAATTGTTCTCTGGCCGCACTGACAGGTTTTAGGATATGTGACGATATCTAAAAATAATTTAATATAACCCGTAAAAATACATTTATTAATTTAATGCTGATGAAAAGCATAGAAATTCTTTTAAGTATACTTCTAAGTAATTAAAACATATTAAATGTAGCTGTATCTGAAAAGGAATATATTTTGTTAGTAATTCAAATAGTCATAACTAATTAAACATTCTAGATATTTGCTCTCATGCTTCCTTTAGGATTATATATCTCTTAAAAACGAGTATTTTTGAGTAGTTATTGACTTACCACAAGTCATGTTTAAAGTTAGGCTCTGATTCCTTGGCACCGCCGGCGGTGACAAATCCACCCCGCTCGAGTTCGAAGCGGAGGAGCTTAGACGCTGTTGCTTCCTTTCAATCGCATTACGCACAATCTTGTCGGCAATCTCCTTGCTTCCGTAGAGGAGTCCGCACTCCACCGGATTTTCATCGCTGCTGTCGGCGCAATCGTGGCGATTGTCGCACATCTGGCGCCTTGGAACGCACAGCGTGCCGTTGTCGCAGGCGAAGCTGCCCGTGGGGCAGGGTCCTGAAAAGGGGGAAAACACCACAAACAGATCCCAAATTAATTATCACCCAAGGACATCAGAGCATACTGCACTCGCTTTGGATTTTGTTCAGCTATTTTAGCACAGCTTCCTACGCATCAGTTATCATTTATGAATTATACTTATTGAGGGATTTTTAGAAAATCTTTTCAAGAGTATTTTTAAACCTCTAAAGATTTCTTTAAAAACATTCTTAGCAAACAAATCAAAATCTTAAAAAATGCGATTAATACCTTTGTATATCTATATTTCTATATTTATGTGTTATACATTTTATATCTTATTAATTTTTAAGATATTTACAACAAGTTTATAAGTGTAGGCTTATCACATGGCCCATGCCGCGTATGAGTAATTATTCTTATCGCTGTCAGGCAAACTTTAAACTCAAGATGTCAACTTAATTTGTGGGCCCTTATATACACCCTCTATCAAAAAAGTATTTCAGTTTATTGTTAGCCTTTTTTGTCTTGAAGGCAATTAAACTTAATGTGCAAAAAAGTTTTGCCTGACTTTTCTTTTATTTTTGGGATGCTTGCTTTGTTAGCAATATGTTTTTTCAAGCATTGAAATCAAGTACATGAATCGAAATTGAAGCTAATTTAACTTGAAAAGTTGAACTGAGTTTTAACAATTGATGGTTGAAATAACTTTCATTTCTTACTCTTAGATTTAATTTATCCTGAGAATTTTTTCTGCCTGAATGCCTACAACTTTTTGGGTAATTGTCGTAAAACGAAATGACCTTTTTGTTTTGCATTTTATCATTTTTATGATTTGTTTGGGTGCCACGACTGGAGTCTCTCTGCAGAATTTGGACCATAGTTCGTTAGACAAATGAGGGAATAAAAGCGAAAGTTGAGCACCTTGAGGAGCTTTTAATCCAATTGCAAGGATTGCGTCAGAGACATATTTTTTTGGGGTGGTTGTCTAATTTATCTCGTAAAAAGATTTCTCTTGACCTGTTTGGCTAGCAATCAGTAAATAAAGATATTAAATTATAAGTGCTTAAGTGTTAATATCTTTAAAGTGAAAGTGAAAAATGTAAATGAACATGTGTGTCAAATCCTTGATTTAAGTTCCCTCTTAACATGGATATGCACTTTCTTCAGTTAAATACCCAACTGCATAGATTTATTTCTTCCTTTATTTCCTAAAGGAATAAATATGTAACTTCATTAGGAAGGACTCGTACTCGTGCACACACAAAAGCATTGTGCATTAGGCGGAGACTTTCAATTTCATTGTGTCCATGACAAGGACACATGTTAGCACACATCCTGGCTCCCTGTTTTCCCGTCTTTAAATCTATTTTACTCCGGCTGATTTAAACCTAAGCCGGACAAATGCTCTCTGGCAGATAAATAATTTCTCCTGATGCATGTACTTGGAATCCGAGGCGACAAAAGGGCATAAATCAAACATGTTTTGCCTATATCTGCTGGTATGGCAAATCAATACGCAAATTGGCATAAAAAATATAATATTGAGGCAGCAAAAAGCAGCGCGAATTTCTCGATATTGATACTCGTAAAACAAGATAAAAGCCTCGAATGAGGAACCAAAACATTGAAGAGCAAAAGCCCAGATATATATATTTATACATTTTCTTGTCCATGGATGTGCGAAAATTGTTTTGTGCTCAAGACAAAGTTTGTGCCGTACTCGTATTTATTTTTTTATGGTCAGCCGTTTGTTGTTTTTCCCAACCGTTTTTTGTTGCTGCCTTATTTTTTATCGTATTATACAACAAATTACTTTCAAATACTTTTGAGTATAAAATTTATGGTCATTTTGCAGCTTGGAGTTTGATTTTGGTTTTTGTTTGGGTGAAGGAAGGTTTTCAAGCAGTTGGGCTTTTCAATTGAAGGATGCGAAAAGGATATACTCATTACAACTATCATCTTAGACTTACTATTTTCAAATGGTTCTTAAGAACTTTACATATTTATAGGAACAGGGTAAAAAACAAAGAAATATCTAAACAACAATTTCGATGGGTTAGGGACCCAAGTTTAGGATAAAAATGAAATGAAAGATTGCAGAAAAACATTATTTGCACACCTTTATGTCAAGAACTTTGGGACAGGTTCCCCGATGATAGTTTCGACTGGGTATTACTCACCCAGACTCAAGTAAAATATCCCGGCGGCGAGCAGAAGGACGATGGTCATCAGGCAGACGCCTACGGCGATGCTCCTCCCGTAGACCATGGCGATTTATCGGTTTGGTCCTGTTTTCCACGCTCGCTTATCTAATTACTTGGCCAGCGTGGCTGCACTGGCTCCTTGACCGAGTTCATCATTAGGAGCACTCAATTCCCACTCCGGGCACGCCCCCACTCGCAGCAACAACCGATGCGGTGCTGACTCATTGAGTTTTTATATTATTATTTCTTATATCGTTCCCTCTTTTTTTTTTGTTAATTTCTTGTCACTTCATTTGGCTAATGTTCACAGCTCGTCGAAAAGAGTTTTAAGTGCCAGGATTACACAGCAGATGGAGTGAAAGGAGGATTCTGGTGTTGGTAGGGGGGTTCAAAATTAATATTTTGGATGGCAAGTGCTTTCCACTTGGTGGGGTTTCGATTTCAGCGCTGGATAAAATTGATTTGATGTCCATAAAAAATATGCATAAAGTGCTATTTTGGCAGACGACGGGCTTGAGTTTCACAGAGGGATTAAAGTTATGGACAGTTTTTGGAAGGGAATTGGTATTTTTTGAGGTTTTAATCAATCAAAAGTAGGAAAAACATCAGAACAAGAGATTTTATTTAAGTTTTTTTTAAATAGATCCAAATTATAATTTGAATTTTTTTTAGTGAACTCGAAGTCATGGTATGGTCTGTTTATATCTATTACACAACGATTATTTTACTGATCTTAAAGCGTTCGACTTTAATACAACACATTTTGGTTAGTTCTCTTTCCTTCCAGAAAAAGTCATAAACCTTTATATATTTTCCCCGCTGAGTCTAACAAATCGAGATGAATAATTTCAGTTGCGAGTCCGAGAGAGAATAATTTGGATCCACTCATATGGTTCTATTTTTAAGTAGCCACTTTTATTTCCTGATTTATGCAGGACATTAAGCCCACAACTCAAGGATATAAATATATATAATGAAATGGAAGTGCAATATGTGACTGGCAATATTTGGGGGCCCTTTTTCTGCGACATTTCATCTCAGGCTGATTAAATTTCGCTTAATTGAATCCGGGGGCGGGGTTGCGCCTCCCCGGGGGGCTCAAGGTCAGCCGGAGACAAATCATAATTTCCGCAAAAGGTCACATTGTCTCTGCGATGCATGATCCCTAAACCGAAACTGGGACTCTCATTATCGCAATCATCGCAATTGAACAGCATTTGGTGTGGAAGAGGGCCATAAAAACGGAGCGGTTTCGTTCCTTTTTGCTGCCGGGCCACTTAATGCTCCCTCGACCACTTTGTAGATTGTGTCAATGCGATAGGATGCCCCCAAAACAGACCATTCAAATGTGTGTTCCTTCGCCTCTTTATTCCTTTCGGGCCACTTTCACTGACCCGTTAAGTGGGAAACACTTTTCCTTTTCTTTTTTTTTAAATCGAAAGTCGCGCGCGCTTCCCCAGGAAAGGAGTTTCTCAAGGGCGACGGAAATCGACAAGGATAAAAGGACCAAACGCGTCCACGCACAGCGGCCAACTGAAGCTGGTTACAGCATGTGTTGCTGATTTTGTTATCCTCCGCAAAGGAAAAGTGGCCGAGCAGCTTCGGGTGCCAAAGGACTTCGGCTGACCGTTTTGTTTCAAAAGCTGCGGTTTCCTTTCCTTTCTGGATGCTTAGAGTGGTCCTCGGTTCAAGTCCCAGTGCTGGTTTTATGATTTTTTCAGTTTCGTTAAATATTTCATTCAAATTTTAGCAAATCCTTAGGGTAATACATATTTAACTTTCTAGTTTTCAAACTCCCCCAACAGTAAATACAAATCATCTTCGAGTTTTAAAGAAATAAATCATAAAAATGTATTTATTAGCTAATTAGATATAATGCAATTAGAATTTGTTCTAAAACCTTTTTAGTTTAAAGTTAATAGTAGTGTATATTATTCGATAAATTGCATTTCGGTTGGTGTTTTTTGTGGTTCACTATCAATTTGTGTAAATATTAAATATTGCTAATTAAAAACATAATACACAAATGCGACTTATCGGTTGTCTTTTAGTTGTATGCATTAAACCTTCCAAATAAGGATTATATACTAATGCGTGACACCTTTTCGGTCGCATGTTTCCATATTCGGTGGCTAAGGCTAAGCACTTTAAAAGTGAAACTTTTCAACAAAGCATTGCTAATTTGTAATTTGTTTTTTAAAGCTGCGCTAATTGCTAAGTACATTAATTTTTGTGTAATTCGAATTGTGAATTCTATAATGAATTATTCTGTGGGAGACAAATCACTAAGTGCACTACTTAAATGTTAAAAAGGCGATTCAAGTTACGATACTTTCGAATTATTGCAACAATTAAAGTTCATTGTTAAAATTAACAACTAATGGCGAATTGTAGAGATTGAAAAGGGTTTTTGTTAACATGTAGACTAGCAACAAAAATTAAACAAAAGTATAGCACACAAAATTAAAATTAGGGGCATGTGATTATGGACTCATTAACTACATTAAAATACAAAGTGCAGTGCAGAATGTGGAGACATGTGGGTTGTGTTTGCGAATTTGTAACATTTATCATTGCATTGAGAGATCCATAGAGTGGTTGGAATGTAAACATACTGAAAGCACGTTAATCATTGTAAATTTGTATAGAATATTGTGTAAAATTGTGATATTCATATGGAATTCGATTTGTGTCAACTCCATTATGCATTCAAGATATGTTCATCAATTTTGTTCCCAAAAACATTATTTGTTGGAGGAGGAATAAGTCTAGAAAAATAGTTTCGATGCCTAAGGAGTGTGTGCGACTTAAACCCAGACGCCGTGAGGATTTTTACTGGTTGGAACAGCAGTTTCTAGTTGCCTGGGCGAGCCGATAATCCGCCGACTGCTGCCCTGCTTGTTAGGTCCCTCCAACAGGTGCTTGATCTCCTCCGTGGTGGTCACAGTCAGACTTTGCAAGTTCACCTCCTTCATTTCGTTGACCAGCTGCTCCACCTGCCGTTTCTTCTCGGCAATGGCATGCTCGATCATCAGCAGCTCCTTCTTCAAGTTATCTGTCGACTTGTTCGAAGTGTCCGTGTTGTGCAGGGCCTGGTCAATTTCGCTCTGTATCCGCTCCATTTCCATTAAGAAGTCGCGCTCCACAGTTTGCCTGCAACAATCAAGGAGTATAAAAGAAGCTGGTTATATAAAATATCAACCCTTTTACTCACCTATTAGTCTGCTGCTGCTGTTGCTGTTCCAGTTCTATGTCATCCATCAGCAAGCGCATCTTGTTCTTGCATTGCAGCAGCTCAGTCTCGCAATTGGCCAGCTTGGATCGGAGCAGAGCAATTTCCGACTTCAGAGTCTTCTCCTGCTGCTTGACCAATTCGTTCTCCTCCTCCACATACTGCAGGGTCTGGAGCTGTTCGCTGCCTTGACGAAAGATTTGGTCCGCCTTGGAGATCTCACGCGATATGGCCTCTAGCTCGTGGGCGTGGTCCCGTTCCTTGCTCTCCAAGTATACTATTTCCGTATCGAACTGAAGAAAATAAAATAAATAAACAATAAGTAATGTATGAAATCATTCTGAACAACAAAAATATTCTTGCTTTTTGCAATTCCATTTGCTGGGCTGTTATCTTCTCGCGCTGAAACTTGATGAGCTGCAACAAATCGTTGTATTGCGTGGCCTGGAACATGGTCTCGCCCTCCTCCATGGCCTGGCTATTATTGTTAATGCTGTTATTGTTATGGTTGCTGTGCTGATCGTAGTCACTGAGGAACGGATTCGTCGAGGAGGAGGCATTTGACATGGTGTCCGCATTGCTGCTGGGCAAACGTTGACCCTGGCACATGGGACTGTTCCTCGGGGGCGGCGGATCACGATACGGAGGTGGTACTAGCGCTCCATTTGCAGAAATCGTCGGGGTTTGCTTATACAGCTCCGGTGAGTTATTGTTGTTATTGACAATATTGTTATTATTGTTGTAGTACATCTCGTTGGGACTGGAACGCCGCAGTTCATTGCTGGATTTGCTTAGCTGGCTGTAGATGTGCTGGTTACTGCTGCTATTATTGTTGTAGAAGTCGTTGTAGCCATTTGCTGAAGTTGGTGGATTGCTGCCCGTGCTGGTCATATCCAAAGGATTCGATAGCGACTTCTCGTGCTTCGGCACCAGTGGTGCTACATTGTTGTTATCCTGCGGCGGCATCTGCTCCTGCGGGACAACTGGTGGGCTCACCGGAGCTCCTGAAACCGGTGGCTGCTGCTGAGGAATCCCTTTGACTATTCCAATGTTGTCAAACTGTTTGGCATCATAGCCGCTACAAGATATAAAGTTATTATATTATTTATAATATATAAATGCAGCTTGGTAGCCGACGTTTTTAAAGGTAGCTCTAGAGTTAACTCATGTATAAAGAAGACTCACCCAAAACTCTTTTTCAATTCCTTTGTGCGGTAGCTGAGTTCGACGTTCGACTTTTGCTTTTGCAAAGTGGGCGCTGGCTTATTATTGTTATTGTTTGGGCCCAGCGGCTTTTTCGTTGTCATCACAGCATAGTTGTTGTTGTTATTGTTGTTTTGCTGCTGCTGTTGTTGTTGTTGCTGCTGCGTTTTGTTCTCGGATCGTTGTAATATAAACTGCACATCATTTGCATACTCGCCCCATTTGAGCAGCAACTTCATGGGATTTTCGTTGGGGGCCAGGTGACGTTCGTTATTACGCCACCTTTCGATTAAAGTGAATCTGCCGACTTTTCCAGTGGCATGGGCCAAGGCAAAGACCACATCCTGTTGGAAATAAAACGTTAATTAGAGAAAAGTCAATAATAGAGGGGATGAATTAGAGTTAATGGCAAAGTAACAGCACTGGTAATTTAAAATGGTTAAAATGTACTACTTATAAATTTATTTAAAAACAATCCATTGTTGGTTTACATATTCTAAAGACAATAGTGCTATTACTTTGACTGTGATTGACAGTACCTGACATGTGGTGTTCACTGTAACGCCGCAAACGATCCGCTGGATGCCCTCGACCCAAACTTTCAGCTCCATTCCGATTCCGGCTAATTGTTGCTGTCTCTTCAAAGATTTCGACCAATTATTCGCGTTTCTTGGTGTTTCTGTTTCTGCTACCAGAAAATTGCTTTCTTGTGCCGCTCCAGCTGAAAATGGGGTTCTACACTAATGGCTTTTGGCGCTTGACTGGCGTTCTGCTGTCGCGCAGCCAGCGAAGCGTGCTAGCTGGAGTGCAGTCTCTCCACTTTCCACCGCTTTTCCCCCGCCCCGTCCCGCTTTTCCACTATTTTCGCTTAATTTTCCGATCGCAGCTTCTGCTTCCTCTTCTTCACTTGCACTTATTTACAACAACAACACGACTGGTTCCGTGCGTTTGCATGTGTGTTTGCTGGGCGTGCGGTTGTGTGTGTGTGTGAGCTGGAAAAATTCTGATTCACTTTTCGGATTTCCGATTTTGTGTTTACTTTTGCGCTTCCGGTGGCGTTGGTCCGTTGTTATTCGATTTGTTTTATGCACCCCTTTTGTGTTATCAAGCAGCTGCACTGCTTTTCATTCGTTTTCACGGAATTTTCAACGGATTTAAGCGAAAAATAAACGCAAACATTGTTGTTGCACTTGTACTCGATGCCAAAAATCGATAGCAACAGCAGCGGACCAGGGATGGCCAAACAGGTGTCTGCAGGGGCTATCGATTAGATTTCTAGCCGATAGCCGGGACACCCACCTAACATTTGCGTGTGACCGTACTCGAAATACCGACGGTATTTTTCAGCAGGCAAATAAGGCGTTTGGTATGTTTTGGCGCTCTGGGTGCGGTCACACTGATGGCAACTCTACAGCCATTTTGCATTTTAGATTCGTGTTTTTTAGCAATTTTTTAGTTTTTCACCGCATTTAACCACATATTCAGAAAGCTGATGACTCGGTAGCCATGTCGCGTGCAGTGGTAACCGAGGAAGCGCTGGAGGCGCTGGTCTTCGAGCGCTCAAAGCTCTGGTCGAGCATAATGAAGGTGAGTCCGTTGGAGTTCCAAATGGCGTCTCTTTCTGATGGCCCTGTTTTATCAGAATTTCTCCACCGTGGACGACGGCCAAGAACTGGATGTGTCGGAGTTTGATAACCTGTTCGAGGGCGAGGACGAGAACTCCGACCTGCAGGACGAGGAGGAGGAGGCCAAGGAGGACAACGAGGCGGACGCGAAGCTGGAAGTGGGCCACATCAACGCCACCAGCGTGGCGGAGCTGACAATGATACTGTGCGCCGGCGAGGACAACAAGGCCAAGGCCGAGATAGAGGAGATCCTCAATCAGACGGTGCCAGTCGTCGAGGAGCACAAGCGCAAGTGGCGGGAGGCGGGCCTGGACCGGATTCTGGACACCTTCGATGAGAAGCAGATCGAACACCATGTGGGCCATTGGATGCGGCGCCACAATAGCGTCTACATAAATGCTGAGCCACCGAAATACCTCCACCCGCACGGCAACTCAATCTCGGACCAGAGCGACGAGTCGCTGCACTCTATCGATACGGCCCGCTACATCCAGCAGAGCCGCCGTAGGAACGCTCACATGACCACCAAGAACCCCAGCTTGACCACCATTAAGATGTACCGCAAACACTCGCACAAACGCGACGAACTAAGGGCCAAGTACGCTTACGACGACGAGCAGGAGCATCGCCACCACATGCAGGCCTTGCTACATCGTCGGCGCGAGAAGGAGCGCAAGCTGGCTTACCTGGCCTCCACCCCTATGCACTGCACGTACTCCAGTGGGCATCAAGTGAGGCGCAAGCATCTGCGTAAGCGGCGCAACAATTCTTGGATGTTTGAATCGTCGTCCGATAGTGATGACGATCCATCATTCAGTGGCTGCGACTGCCACGCCTGCCGCAGACATCAATCTCTGTCCAGGACTGCCTACCAGTACTTCCCGTATGGCAGGGACCAACGAGAGTATCACCACCGCCAGGCAGCATCGCGGACCATGCACACCATGCGCCGCCATCACACCTTCGACATGGACATGGACCTGCGACCAAGACTGCCGGAGAACGAGTGCAGCTGTTGCAACAGCGACCGCCTCTGCTCGAATTTCGTCCACATAGCCAACAGCTCCACAGAGGAGTGGGTGGTGGAGAATCGTAACAGCCCTTTGGTTGTGGGGAAGCCGGCCAAGAGCAGAAAGCACAAGCAGGTGGTGGCGGTAAGCCCGCAATCCGTTCGATCTAAGTGCCACAAGCAGAGATTACAGAAAACGAAGTCTGCCTCTACTTCTAAGTTGCCTACAACCAAAGCGAACTACATGTTTGATAGTGACACTTCCGACGAAGAAGCAAGAAAGCCAATGTTTTGCCACTCAGAGCGAACAAAAGTGATTCGAGTTGCACCTATTCCAGTTGCACCAAAAGCAAAAATGGCCGCAAAAAAGGCTATTGCAATGAATCCCAAGAGTTTGCCACAAATCAAGGAAGAAGAGCCCACTCCTGGCAGAAATAAGAATGTGGCCATTCCGATAAGCGAATCCTCCGATGAGAGTGCAGGCGAAATAAAGAGAAGAAAAAAAATTGTGAGTTTCTCTGAGGCAAATTCCAAATCTAAAAAAACCCGTGAAATTCCCCAAAAGTCAATAACGGCGCCTATCCGAAATGTTCCACCAGTTAATGAACAGGAAGTAAAATCCCTTCCAAACATTCCATCAGTTGAAAAGGGTAATGAGGCAATAATCAACCCGAAAAAAGAATCTCGAAATATGATTTTGGAAACTACATACATCACCGTTAAAGATGCTGAGTCAAACTTAGACCCAATCGGATCTGGAGCAAACAAAAACACATTGGAGGAAATCACGTCTCCCTTAATCACAGAAAAAGAAAACGCTTTAGCTGAAAAAGACAATGGTTTGAGTAACAAGAAAAAAGCTATAAGACATATTAAAAGCGGTCCAACCGATACAATCGATGAAGAAGTCATGGACAGGAAATGCATTGTGAGTTTATCTGAGGCCAATACAAAATCAAAACGTCCTGCTAAGAAATCTACCAAACCAATAACGATTCTAGCACAAAAGTCCGATTCACCTCCCATTCCCGAAGAAACCAATACCAATATCCCGGAAGTTGTATGTATAAACTCATCATTATCCTCTTGTGATTTAAAAGAGGAACGTCTAGTTGTACCGAGGAGAAGGACTAAAAAGAATTCAGAAAACGCAACTGGAAAGACGTCTACTACGGCACTCAAAAAGGCCAGACCCAATTCGCTTAAAAAGAAAACTACTTCTCCTGCTATTAAGAAATTGCCGCAAATCACTGAGGAGGCGCCCATCCGATCTCCCGATTCACAAACAAACCCTGAATCAAATCCCACAACTAAATGTTTAAAGACAAATGTAAAGAAGCCCGAAAATTCCAGTAGAGAAGAGACTGCAAAGGATGTGAATGACATTCCACTCGATTCAGAAGAGGAGCTGCAGCGGGCCTTGGCTTTGTCAAAGGTCGCATACAAGGAGGAGCAGCAGAAGCGGCGAAAAACAAAGAAACAGGAATCCAAGGAGCAGCCCCAGTCTCCTGCAGAGCAATCATTGGCGGTATTTAACAATCAAAGCGTGACGTGCAACTCCACAGCTGTGGCCAACGACACGGCCTGCAATCGTGTGCTGCCCAAGAGACGGGCGGTCAAAAGGGTAGCCGCCGTAAGCACCACAGAAGAGCAGACAAGTTCCCCGACGGGCATGTCGGTGGAGGAAGCCAGCGCCACAGGTGGCGATCCTGACTGCACGGTGGTGACGTCCACCACTTGCTGTGAACCGTCCGCAAGTGAGCCGAACCCACCACCCATCAAGCTCACCAAACGGGGCATCCTGCTGCACAGCTCCTCGGAGCCGGGAGCGTCCAACTTCACACTGACCGAGCAGGGACTCGGAAAGTTCATAGGCGACCGTTGGGCCCGCAAGTACCTGAAATACCACATCGGCAGCCGTAGCTTTGACAGCCGACACTCTGTTTACTACCAGCCCACACCACAGTTAGCCGCCGCCCTGACTGCTCCGCAGAATGCGCAGAGCCTCGCCAATATCTCAAGCTCCAGCGCCAGCGATGATGACATCTTCGACCAGATAAACCGGTACGGAACGGTGTACAGCGTGTTTGAAAAGAAGTCTGGTGACAAGTAATTCTTAAGTTTAAGTTACTCTTTTTCCATTAAGTCCAAGTTTTGATTATACACAAAGGTTTCAATGCGGTGTTAAACACATCCTTGCAAAAGGAATTATTAGAAACATTATAGTAGATTATTTTTTTAAGTTTTGATTTATTTCACGTAAATTACATGATCGATAGTGATAATAGAAAACATAATACGTCATAATCATTATAATCATCATAAATTTTCGCTTAAGTATTAAATAATTGTTTAAGAGATTTATTCGCATTGCAATAGTAATTCTTGTGTGTCGTTTCCATGAAGTTTATCAAAATTCATATCGGCTATTGTTAATTTTATGTATTCACAAGAAAACAAATAAAACGTAAGATCAATTTATAGAGTGAAAATGGCGCGTCGAAAAAAACAGAAGCTTCTTCCTTCCATGTATTTACAAATAACAAAAACTTACCTAAAAATATGTTGATAAATCAAGAAATTAAAATTAAACAAAGAGCGTTATGATGAAAACAAGAAACACACGACTTTTGACCCTGGAACATGCGCGCCCACACACATACACATGCGAAGCATATATCTACACGTACACATATGCCTGGCCGGCTATATAGCGCCCTACACATCGATCTGGAATGGGGAGCCGGGTATATGCTCCTCGCCCCACTTGATTAGGAGCACGTACTGGCCACGGTCGCGCACCAGATACTGCACATTGTAGTTGTTGTGGCCAGCGTGCTTCACGTGGAACTCCTCGCAGGGTCCCTTTGGTCCGTACATGCCCACGTACAGGATGTTGTTGCCTGAAAAAGGGAAAATATGTTATTAAAATAGGTTAAGTAATAGATATGGTATTTTAGGTCTGATATTTCAATGTCATGTAACGTTTTAAGCTTGTTAACTTTCTAAAACGAAGTTAACATTAAGTATTCTCGCTTTCTCAATGTTATGTTAGTTGTCAGTTAGCTTCAAGTTAAGATACAACCTGAAAAACTGAATTTTTCCAAATCATCAATTTAAACTAAGGGACAAAAGTTTACATGACGTTGAGAAATCGGCTTTGAAAAGTTAATTTGTTCTCAAATTTTCCAGATTGTAACTACATATGACCTAAGTGGAGATATAACTCACCCGCATCGGTGGCACAGATGCTGAACTGGTTCTGCTTGCCAATGTAGGCCTTCTTCAGTCCCATGCCCTTGGACACCACCTTGTTGGCATCCGACTTGAAGGTGGGCAGATGGACGCCCGTGTTCTTGCCGCCCTTGGCCACCTTCTGGACCGTCTCCACGATCACCGTCGACGTCTCCTGGGCGCCCTCATCTGCCAACTTGTCGCCGGTGGCGTTCACCTTGAACGGCGAGCCCACGATGTGCATGTTGTTGTACTTCACCGTGATGTAGTGCTCGCCGGGCAGCAGGGGAGTGTAGCGCACCTTGTAGCCCTCCTCAACCTCAGTGCAGTCCATGGCCACCTTGGAGGGTCCGTCGATGGAAACGGCGAGCGTGCCAACGCCGGCGTTGCAGGTGTTAATAATAAAGTCGGCCTTGTGTCCAGTCTTCACCTCGTCCAGGCCGTTGCCGCTGGCGTGCACGGCAGCCGGATCGGCCACATCCTTGCCCACCTTGATTCTGAACGGCGAGTCGGGTATGTGGACGCCGTTGAACTTGACGTGGATGGCATGGATGCCGTTCTCACGCGGATAGAAACGCACTGAGTACATCTCGCCGTCGATCACCTGGATGAAGCAATCATCGTCCGTGCCGGAGGGAGCCACGATCTTGGCGTCCAGCTCACCCTTGGCGCCGTTCTTGCGCACCATGAATTGGTACGGAGCGTCGGCCTGGATGTTGCCCTGCGGGAACTGCTGAACCTCCAGCTTGTGGGCATCGCCAGCATCCGGCGATACGTACACCTTGAAGGGCGAGTCGGGTATGTGGCGGTCGTTGAACTTAAGACCCACGCGGTACTCTCCGGGTTCGGTGACCTTGTAGGACACATCGCAGCTGCCGTCCTTGCGGTCCTTGAACTCGATGTCAGCCTTGCTGGGACCCTCCACGGAAATGGCCAGGGAACCGCCGCCCGCCTCGCGGGTCCAGACATTAAACTCGGCGGCCTCGCCGACAACGCCGCGCTCCAGTCCGGAACCTCCGGCCTTGACCAGATGGCTGCCGGAATCGCGCAGTGGACCCACGGTGAACTGGAACGGCGAGCCGGGTATGTGCATCTCGGAGTAGCGCACCGACACAGTGTGCACGCCCAACTCCTTGGGTACAAAGTGCACGGCGTAGAGACCATCCTCAACCTCCTGAATCTCCGCATCCTCAGTCACGTTGCTGGGTGAGGTGACGCAGGCGGCCAGATCGAACGAGGTGATGCCGGGCATCTTGAACGTCAGCTTGCACTGGCTGCCGATCTCCGTGATGGGGACAGCATCGCGCTCCCGCTGGATCTTCTCACGCTTGCGGTTGCTGCCCTCGCCGGCAACCTTGACGGTGAAGGGCGATCCCTCCACGTGGTGATCGGCGAACTTCAGGTTCACAATGTAGTAGCCCGGCTCTGTGGGCTTGTACGAGATGTTGAGGGTGCCGTCGTCCTTGTCGGTGCACTGGATCTCCGCCTTGCTGGGACCCTCGATGGAGACCGACAGACCGCCGAAGCCGGCGTTGCGTGTATCCACGGAGAAGATGTTGTCGGCATGAGTTTGACCCTCTTTAAGGCCAGCTCCGGTAACCTTGACCTTCTTGGCGTCGCCCACCTCGCGCTCGCACACGGTAACCTTGAAGGGGGAGTTGTTGATGTGCTTGCCCAGACGCTTCACCGAAACCAGGTGCTCGCCGATCTCACGGGGCGTGAACGAGATGCCAATGTTGCCCGTGGGCATGCGCTTCAGGAAGCAGGGCTCCTCCAGGCCGCTGGGCGCCTGGATAGAGGCGTTCAGGGCGCGCAGATCATCGTCGGTGATGTCGCCGGGCATGGTGACCTCGGAGCAGGAGCCCACCGAGATCTGGTTGCGCTTGCGACCCTCGCCGGTGATCTTGGCAAAGTAAGGCGATCCCTTGATGTGCTTATCGCCGAAGCGAACGGATACCTGGTATTCGCCAGGGGCAGTGGGCAGGTATTGCACGGAGACAGTGCCGTCTTTGTTGTCGTGGTAGTTGATCTGCAAATCGGAGAGACCATTATTAAATGTTTTCCTAGTCCTGGCAAAGGATATCGCTTACGTCAGCCTTGCTGGGTCCTTCGACGGCCATGGTCAGGCCACCGGCGCTGGCTCCCTTGGTGGAGATGGTGAAATTGGCCGGCTCACCGGTGACTCCGTGAGTCAAACCAGGTCCATAGGCCGTCACATAGCCGGAGGTGATTGAGTCAACGTGGAATTTGAAGGGAGATCCTGTGGAAAAAAATAACTTAGCGACTCAGAAGGGAATTTCTTGGTATTTCCTATCCACCCACCTTGCACGGGTTCTCCGTTGTATTTGACCACCAGCTCGTGGGATCCCTCCTCGCGGGGATCGTACTTCACCGAGACGGTACCATCACGGTTGTCCTGGATCACGGGTTTGTCTACTTTACCGCTCGGCATTCTGACTTCAGCTGGAAAGGCACAAAAGGTAAACCAATATTTGTTAGACACTGTCTTTGCAATTTTTAAAAATAACATATCGATTATAACCTTAAAGAAATATCTATCTAATATTAGCGAAATAATTAGAAAACTGTTTATAACCCAGTTAGATATTTAATCTATAGATATTAATGAATATCATTTTCAAAACTGATATACTTTACAGATATTATTTGATTTATGCCTCAGAAATTGTAGTTCCTTTTTCTAGGTTGTTCAAAATGTACAGTACCCCTAAGAACGCAGCCGATCGGAAACTCAGTTTAAAGACCATTTAATGGATCTGTTTTGTATATGGTGAATTATGTCACCAAAGCATTTTTCAAATAATTTGCGTGGGCGACAGTCACAAGTTTGAAAAAATCATAATTTCATTTTTATGTTCGAATTTGCGACCCATTTTTTATTCCACAAAATCTATTTCTGTTCTCTGCAGAGATCTAAAGATCGAAGAGCCTGTTGTATTTGTGTCGAACCGAAAAAATAAATTAAATGGAACAAATGGTATTTGCCTCGAATGAATTCCAAAAGTTTTTTCACAGTTTCCGAACAGGATATCATATAACTAGGGAACACACTTACTAACAAGCCGATAAATTTATTTTTATTATGTTTCGTATGCTTCACAATATTATTCCACTAGAGAGACACACCCACAAATATATATCTATGGTTAACTCTTGTTTGGGCTGGATGAGTATCCTTGTTTAATAATCCTTGGCACTTGGGACCCAAAGTCCAAAATCACTTCTTAACTGAACGAATGCTGTGCATCGACTGAGTGGCTAGTAATCTGTTGGCTTTCCAAAGAAATTTCCACTAACGCCTACAATTGCTTTTATACTTTCCCACGCCATCAGGCAAGAAAAATGAAAACAACATCGTTCCTGAATTTCGTTGAGGTCAAATATAGGACACACTTTATATGTTTCCCAGTCACATATGTATGAGATCCACATATAACACTATATAGCCACTTTCATAGGTCCTCATCCCTCCCCTAGCGATCCGGAGTATATGTCAGAAATGCATAAAAAACTATTTATAATATTATAGGTGACTATGTGCTGGAACGATAAATTTGGAAATTTATGCACGTGTCTGAATTTATATTTAATGTTTGTCCTCGATATTTATAAATTCGGGAAGAGGGCTTTATATACAGACAAAATTCCAATGGTTTTTTGCTGTCAAAACATCATATGGCATCTTCTGCTTAGCGGATCATTAGATAGAATAGAAAAGTCTGTTGTTGTTGACAAAAAATAAACGTATTTAAATGAATTAAGACATAGAACCCGGTGAATCATCTGGACATTACCCTTATTTTAAGTTTACAATCAAATTTATTAATCACTCTATATATTTTCAGTTTATTTAAGACATTTGCTGACACTTCACATGATCATAGCCGTAAATTTTGTTTTATTAAAAAGCATTTAATTTTGCTAAGAATATTTTCTTTGAACCGATCATAAATATGTTTAAAAAAGCCACTAAGCTTTCCACTTTCATCGGAATAATATTTCGCTTAGCTCTGATCCATCAGAATTAATGGGCACTTTTTTTGCGGCCACAAACTAAACCAAAAACAATGACGGTAAACACAGATAAATCAGGGGATCGTGTCGCGTGCCCAACCAAAATTTAGAACAAGGCACTACATGTGAAAAAAACTAAACACCTCAAAAACACAAGACAATGGCTGCCAGAAAAAAATGCGAACGTGTCTTTGAAGAATCTGCCAAGAGTAAAATGGTAAAATTTATAGCCAACTTATGGGGTGGCTAAAATTCAAGGAACCTTTAAAGAACAATTACAGAACAATCAAAGGAAATATGCAAGACCTACATAGAACACAATGCATTTTCAAATCAAACAAAAATGTCGTA